ATAGAAAATGGCTGCCGATAATGCCGAGGGCTCGGTCGGTAAATGTATGCTATTATACCACCAGCATTTTTTTACTCCTCCCTCCCAAAAAATCACTGGTTCACACGTATACCTAGAATTAATAATCGCTGTAAATGAAATGTCCATATTTTACAGGCACTGGTGGGAAACTTTCTCCAGATAAATAATGTTGCAACCTGATATCTTGTACAGCAGAGGTTCTTACTCTGTTGTGTGTTTTCTGTTTTCGAACTGAGTTTGATATCATTTAACTCATTCCACTCCAGATGGTTTTGAGCGAAGTTTGACAACAGAAAACACAAAACGGAGTAAGAACCTCTGCAGTACAAGATATCAGGTTGCAACATTATTTATCTGGAGAAAGTTTCCCACCAGTGCCTGTAAAATATGGACATTTCATTTACAGCGATTATTAATTCTAGGTATACGTGTGAACCAGTGATTTTTTGGGAGGGAGGAGTAAAAAAATGCTGGTGGTATAATAGCATACATTTACCGACCGAGCCCTCGGCATTATCGGCAGCCATTTTCTATCAAGAGAGTGTCCGCCGGCCACCGCAGCAGCAGAGATGCTACATGACGTCACGGCGGTTATGTTGCCCGCCAATAGCATTGAGTTCCCACCCCCTCCTGGTGACTAACCGCTTGACTTGTGGCGCGGCCCTTCCTGTAGGTAAGTTGAATGTAACCCGATTAAGTATTTTTCAGGCCCATCATGGCTTCCGCTCCCTTCTTCAGCGGGGCAAAGTGGAAGCTGTAACGGCTGAAGTCGGCGTAGGTCAAATTGGGTGATACACGACACAAAGGCAAGAAAAATAAATAAAATACGACGGATGAATGGACGAATTTATGTATGTAATAAGCTAATAAAAATATTTTCACGTGTATTAGAGACTAATAACGCGGGGTTAAGAATTAATGAATTGGTTTATTTACTCCTTATATGCACCACAAATAAATACACGTAATCACAGCGCTATCGCAGTTACACACACACACAAAGTCCTTTCCTGGTTCAACAAGTAAGACACAGGATCTATAACATTCTCATTGAATCACACACCACATATTATACATGGATGAAGTCCTCTAATCACGCCAGGTATTCACACGACGAACTTTCCGTAGACATCTCCCACAGAGAACTCAGAACTGTGTCACTTAAAACTGTTGTATTTCTAACTGCTGTTATATAGCCTCATCATCGACCATGAAAAGAGAACACAGTCCTATTGTTCATACGGAAAACAACATAGAAAACATGTCACGTGATTGCTACATCGCCAGTCCATTGGCACGCTGAGTTTTGCCTAGTACGAGCTATAAATATTCGTCCTATGGTTAAGTGCGCTTATGTGAGATGTTTATCGCCCCATTTCTTAGTTATGCATTTTACATTAAGCAGAAGACTGCGAGCGGAATTTGGAATTGGGGGAAAACAAATGCATAAAGTACGTTTGTGCTGAGACCACTAGGAACGTAGGTGCTAAAGCGTAGGACTCCAAGACAGAACTGTGAGGGTAATAAGAGACTGGATATTAGAGGAACAAAATTTCAGGATGTGTCTTAAAGTGAAGGGAATGTCTATTGTGCCTAAGTGTTTTGAAATTACAGTGAATTACAATGTAAAAAACTGCACTTAATTTGGTTACTGGCACATATAATTTAGAACAAGACAATTATGATTTGAAGAAACCTAGTAATGAAATTGCTTCTGCTATAAATTTATAATTGGACACACAACACTTACAGCCTGATTCTTCAAAGCAGGAAATGTCCAGTCAACTCGTGTCAGAATTACTTTTGGGACTCGAGTTGCTAAGGAATGCAACGTCCTTCGCAGTCTCGAAAGGCGTACTTCTCCACTTCCCATTCTTCTCTTGTTAATCTTCTTCTTCTTCTTCTTCTTTGTTCTGTGGCGAACACACACAAAGTTTAACCGCTGACACACCAGAGCGTGCAGTGAAATACACCACTTCGATATGAGAAAATGAAGCAGTAAAATTTGATACGATATTCCAATACATGAATCGGAAAGTTTACAACCATGCTCTTGACAATTCCAGTTCTTTTAAATCAAGTACAGATTATGCGACTGCAATGCGTATTTATATATGAATACATTTTTCAACAGGTTCTATTGCGTTGCACTGAAGCGCAGTTAGGAAAAATTAACTGCTTTACATAGGCAAATTTTTCAGTCTTTTCGCCAAATATATCAAATAGAGCCGTTGAGTACTTAAATGTTGAAATGAAGTAAGTAAGCTGTTGTTCGAAGACAAACTTCAAGTTAAGTTGATCCGGAATAGCTCTGTCTTTATACAGAGGAGCTGCAGGCCGGACACCGGGGGTTCTATCCCCCACAGGAGAATGGTACTTTCTGTCCACAGCGTCAAAACCGGGACTGAGACTAACCGAGACTTTCATCTATATAGCAGAGGAGGATATTTCCACGGGGGTAAATATGCCAGGTCTTGGAGCTGATCATTCGTTTCCATTTAGTGCCGATTTCAAAACGGTGGAGATATACCTCCATTCCCACATGTACATTCATGGTTTACTGCTTGATTAATTAAACACAGAGACAGCTTTACATTTTTCTACTAGATAATTATATATACGAGCAACAATTCGAAATATTAGCAGAATTAAAAATCTACGTTACATGCAACTTTCTTCGGTCTTCCACACATCCAAATGCAATCATTAGAGTGCAGAACACATGCTGAAAATATAGCAAACATTTCTGTACTTTTGTTAAATATTGCTACATATAAATTCTGTCATCGTGAGAACAAAATTCTTCCTTTCATTCATTCATTATTTTGGAATATTACATATATGTAGTTTAATTTGTTCACTATAAGCGCAAACTCATGATTTAATCTTGTTTTGTTCCCAACATTATGTACATTATACGGTCAGCATCTTATGATCTACACAGATATCGTTAACATGTATATTACTTATCTTTAGCCCATATACAGAAGGGACATATATGTAAAGGAATACACCCGAGATGCAATCACTCAGACGTCCCTAACTGCTAATGCCAAATTTCATTTTTTAGGTTGCTTGGTTTCTGTTAGAATTTTAACACACAAAGTCAGACACATTTCTTTAATTCATTAGATGATCTTAAATGCCCAAATTCTCAAAACAAGCAACTCCCATTTCTGGTTGTAGTTTCCAGGGATGACGTATCTACTGAGACACTCATATATACTAACTCTATTATCTCAGGATTTCAGTGAATTTATAATTCAGTAATACCGCAAATTTGTTTTTAAATTCAGTATTTCTTCAACTCGAAATCTAAAACTAGAATGTTAGTAAAATTTTAAAAAATGATTTATAAAACCAGGTAACTGCAAGAGAAAATTAATTTTGAAATTTTTGGGATTGCATATTTCTTGTTATTCCTCTCAAAATTAGGCAAATTTTAGGCACAAAAACATATTTAAAAAAGCAAAGAAAATACATATAATTTTGAAGGCAAGTTGCAAGTCCTGTTACGTCCTCAGTACTTCTGGGTGCTATTCTATACAATTACTTGTTCTGGATCTGGTGATTTCCGGTAATCATCCACTCAACTGGAGCAGTGTGTGCCATTACTTGGTTGCTAAGATAACTGCGTATCAAAAGAGAAACAGACGTTACATCTGGATAACATATTGTGACATGCTGAGCTATGGATGACGCCCCTCCCCCCCGCCAGCCGTGATGCGCCGAGCGAAGCTGAAGTGAGCCGAAGTTAGCCGAGTCCTAGCATCCTGGTCGCTATGCAACGCGAGTCAACAGCGATGACGTCACCAAGGGTACCGCGGATTGCTAGGGCAGCGCGGGTAAACAGGATTGCGAGAGACGACGGTGGTAACAGCGGTTACTACCTCTAGCGTTACTATCAACACAGCGCCAGGCAACAAGGGTGCTCATTACGTGGCCGTTTTCTGTATTGTCCGATCGAGGCTACATGAGGGGCAGCGAAGGCTATTCACAGTCAGTCCTGGAGCCACCTCCGAGTGAGTCCTCGAGCTACCTCCGAGTTAGTTCCGAGTTAGCCAGCAACTAGCCAGTTGTATTGTGGCATTTGGAGTGTACTATTTGTGATACTGCAGATAGCAGTAATCGTAAATCTGTAATTTGGGTGATTGTAAGTGCGAATGTGAAATAAAATTCGCTATGTCAAATACGGCGTGAAGTTATTTGTCGCGCGATATACGCCCAACACGCGACA